GATTGGAATTACTTCCTCACATTAAGTGCTTTATCAATAAGTTTATACCGCCAGTAGTCAGGCACAATCCACTACTAAGCTACACTATCAGTTCTTTTGCTTTGAGAGATTTTTTCTAGATATGGTATCTTCTAAGTTTATCAGAGAAAATCTCCTGTGTCTCTACCTGCTAAGTAGATGTTTTATATTCTTGAGCCACATTTACAAGACTGGATTTCAATATGTGACTAGAAACTGTCTTCTTTCTCAGCTGATTAAATAAAAACGCACAACTTGAACACATTAAAACCCATGGAACAAATTATGTCATAATTATACATATAAATAACACACAATACATTTAGTAGCAATAAGAAAAACTGGCTATTAAACAAGGTAAAGGTAAGAATTTCACAATTCCATAAAAATTAGGTAAGAGTAAAATCACTATGAATCAAGAAAAAGTATTATTATTAATATAATGTTTAATTTGCTTGCTTTATTTTTTTAGAAAGTACATGAGTCCTTTGGGGTGTTCACTTTTTATAGTAAGTCAAGAATTTGAGCAACTAATATATAGACAACTGTTCTATAAGATAAAACTGAAATGAATTATTTAGCTTCAGAGAAATTTCCTTCATCTTTTGGCTATGGCATAATGTAGAAACAGACTAAAAAAGAGACAATCAAATGTTGAAAGTACATCAGAATTCATCATGATACTACATAACAGATAATTACACAAAGAAATGATGGTAACTATTAAGTCAGAAAACTGAAGGAGAGCTGGATATATTTGAAAAAAATTGTATTTCCCAAATAAAAGGAAACATGAGTCAAATATTTAGAGAAAGTTAATAAATGTAAAAGGCAGAGGTTGAGACAATCTTCCTAAGTATGGATGTGTACCTAAAATAAATTCTCAGAGATTTCATGAGGTAGCTGTGAATTAAAGCTCTAAGTGGCTTGACTCAATTCTCAGAGACTATCAGTCCCTGCACAGTTGATCCAGTTTGCCTTCTCAGAGGAGTTGTACATAACATGTTCCTCCTGAGATAAACTCAGTGATTTAGGCAGAAAGGCAAGCCTGATATTAAAAAAAACCGGATATGGTACTTGTGAAGGTCATATTTTATAGTTGTTTCTGTGTCTTACTCTCTCACACACACAAACTTAGACCATTGTGATAACCTAGTATAGTAGACACTGAAGAAACCACTTTTTTGAAAGTCAAATCCGGTAGTGCTGATAACAGATACAGGCCAGATGAATGTGGAAGGTGTTTATTACTTATAGGGGCACCTAATTATGCCTAGTGTACTGTGACCATCTCTATGGCTTTGCATAAATGGAAAGTAACTAGATTTGGGATGTATTGACAGATCAATGTGTAGTCAATTGTGACCTCTTGAAAATAGTTGGCACATCTTATTAGCTGGGTGGTCTTGGGTATGAACTTTGGACTTTGGACATGAACTTTAGACTATGGGCTTCAAAGCCAAGTTCCTCAAAATACTAAGCATAGAACTCCCCTATGACCCAGCAATCTCCTTCCAGGGAATTTACCCAAAATACCACAAACAAGGCCACTCTAAAGCTACCAGCACAACCACATTCACTGCAAAATTATTTATCATATCTAAGATATGGAATCAACCAAGATGCCCCTAAATAGATGAATAGATCAAAAAATTGCTATATACACAATGGAATTCTATGCTTCCATCAGAAAGAATGACATCTTCCCATTTGAAAGGAAATGGAGACTTGGAAAAATCATATTAAGTAAGCCAGACCCAAAGAAACATAGGCTCCATGTTTTTCTTCATTTATAGTAATTAGCATATGCCTAGGATAGTCCTAGCAGAGGTTCACAATAGTTCAATAGCTATGTACACATGACAATATAAAATGATGCTAATTGAAATGATCTCCACGGTGTGGAAACAAGAAGAAGTCTTGTGGTCATTTTGTTTTGACTTTCTTTTATTTTTGCTTTTAATGTACTATTTGCAGTTATTTCTTTTGTCTTTCATTTTTTTCTCTTCTGGCTTATTCTTTATGATCACTGTTTCTGATTTACGTACCCTTTGTCTTGTATATAAGCTTATCTGAGTTAGGAAAGGGAAAGAGAATCAGAGAAACAATAGAACAAAGGGTAAATCAATGCAACAGAGATACTCACTAGGCAATATGTTGGAAATGAACTTTACAACTTGGAGGAGGGGGGAGAGAAAGCAGGAGAAAACACTGGTTTGAACACCCAGAAATGAACCCACAGACCTATAGCCATCTAATCTTCGATAAGGGAGTAAAAAAATAGAATGGAAGAAAGACAGCCTCTTCAGTAAATGGTGCTGGCAAATTTGTTAATCACTTGTAGAAAACTAAAGCTAGATCCTTACATATCACCAGAATCAACTCCAAATGGATCAAAGACCTCAAAGTCAAGCAGACACCCTGAAAACATTACAGGATGGAATAGGAGAAACTCTAGGTCTCCTTAGCACAGGCCGAAATTTTCTTAATAAGGACCCAGAAACACAACAAATTTCATGGGATTGCTTGAAATTGCAGAGCTTCTGCATGGCAAAGGACATAGCTAGCAAGATCAATAGAAAGCCCACGGATTGGGAGAAAATCTTCACTAGCCATACAACAGACAAGGCTCTCATATCTAAAATATACCTGGAACTGAAAAATTTAAATCTCCCAAAAACAAATCTTCAAAGAAACAATTGCCTAGTAAATAAGTGGGCTAAAGAGTTAAAGAGAAACTTCTCTGAAGAGGAAAGAAGGATGGCCAATAGACACATGAAGAAATGCTCAACCTCTGTAGCCATAAAAGAAATGCAAATCAAAACAACATTGAGGGTTTTTTTTGCTATTGTTTCTAACGTATTTATAAGGTGATTTTTTTGTTGCTTTGAATGTTGCTTCCCCATTTTCACTGTATTTGATGTTGGTATACTTTGTGGAGGGGAAGGGAAAAAACAAATTGTTTAAATAGGGATACAGATGAGCCCATTGCAACAATGAGATGTACAAGATGCTATGTCAAAAAATAAACTTTACGACTTTGGCGTGGGGGTGGGGGGGAGGGTGGGGGGACAGGGAGGGTAGTCGTGGAGATGGGAGGGCAGGGATGGTAGGGGAAAAACAAAGGAGGAGGCAACAATGCACTCATTAACTTGCTCATGTAATTGTAACCTCTCTGTATGGTATTTTCACAATAAAAAACTCATTTAAAAATAAATTAATCAATTCATAAATACTTATCTGAAGAAATTTGTTAAATATTTAGGAGGCTGTATGATAAATTGTACCAAGCATGGATTTGAATCAAAACTTTTCATTCTGGTAGTTTCCAAATGTGTTAGTAAGAGGTTGTAATTCTCATTTAGCCTTGTCTGTCTTCTTCATAATTGTGGCAATAAGTCTAATTGCTATGGGAACTTATGGAAGTGAAATTATATATATTATATATATTCTAACAGAATTCTGCATTCTTGTTAAGATTTACAAATGATTCCAAATATTGATCTTGGCACAGTGTCTGATACAAAACAAATACTAAATTCCAAAAATCAGACACAGCTAAAAAGAATATTCATTTTTGGTGTTGTTGTTGTTTCTGTGGCTTGAACTCTAGACCTGGGTACTATCCCTGAGCCTCTTTGTGCTCAAGACTAGTGCTCTACCACTTGAGCCATAGTACCACCTCTGGGTTTTTCTGGTTAATTTATTGCAGATGATAAGAGTCTCGTGGACTTTCCTGCTTCAACTGGCTTGGAAGTATGATACTCAGGTCTCAGCCTCCTCAGTAGCTAGAATTACAGATGTGAGCCACTTGCACCTGGCTAAGAGCAATATTTAAATCCACTATTCTATTAAAATATCTATATTAAAATATCTATAAAATGCCTGTATCTGATAGATAGCTTATACATAAAAAGCTTATACATAAAAGAAAGACAGCTATTATTTTTAATTAAATACATTATATAGGAACCTTTCATTTAACACCTTATAATGCCATTTCAAAATTAGTAACTCTAGAACTTTATTCTTCAATGTTTATCCAAATGTTTAATTACAATGTTCTTATTGGTGGAATATATCTGTCAATTTAGACCCATTTTATTCCCCTATTGGTGGACATCCTAAAGATTGTAAGAGTGGGAAAAATCCAAAAGGAAAAACTGTAGACATTTTTAATGCTTTACCCTGAGAATAAATATTTTGGAGAAAAGCAGCAAAATTGTGGTAGACAGATCTTTATATGATAGTGAAACAAAAATTACTGACTATACATATATCCTACATTTTACTTTAAGCATCAAGACACTATCAACATATAATTATGTTCATAGGCATGAAAACCTCCTACTACACCTTTTCTATGAAAATACCACATAAGATGATTAAGTTCTGAATATGATATCATGCACTTAGACGATATCTATTTCTAATATTGTTAACAATCAAACTTATAATTTCTTTTATCCAAATTTCAACAAATGAATTGTAAAATATATTGATAAAAGCCATTTAGGCCAATCACATACATGATTACAATATAATTGCTGAATGGACACAGTCACTCTGTGGTCAATTCTGTCATTTCTGATGAAAGAGGTGTGAGCAGCTTCGTCCGATTGTTTGGAATTTTTACAGGGATTTTGTGCAAACTCAGCAGACAAGTGCAAGTCAGAATGGTTCTTGCTTCAGATCAAGATGAAAATATATGTTAACATTTTAGCCTTCATGTATTTGTATGTGGTATCAAACTTTGATAAAAATCTAATAATATTTTAGATATGAGTGAAAATAATATAGTTAATATGATTAGGTTGTTGAAAAGAAACACAAAGGACAAATTTATTTATTCGGGTGAGGCACATCATGATAGATTTGGTTAGTAGGAAAGTTAAAGCATGTTTTTATGTAACACACTAGGAAATCACTGATATTGGACAGAAAAAGCTGTACGCACCTGAAAGATGACATGTGTAGCTGTGATGGCCCAGAGAAGCATGGTTTCTCATAATAATACAGAGTTTCATCCTCATGCTTTTCTTCTCCGAGGAATTCCTGGTCTAGAAGATGTGCACGTATGGATTGGTTTTCCATTTTGTGTCGTGTACTTGACGGCTCTTCTGGGAAACATCACAATTTTATTTGTAATCCAGTCTGAACACAGTCTCCATCAGCCCATGTTCTACTTCCTGGCCATTCTATCCTCGATTGACCTGGGCCTGTCCACATCCACTGTCCCCAAAATGCTGGGCATCTTCTGGTTTGACCTGAGAGAAATCACATTTGAAGGCTGCCTCATCCAGATGTTCTTCATCCACCTGTGTACTGGCATGGAGTCAGCTGTGCTTTTGGCCATGGCTTATGATCGCTATGTGGCCATCTGTAACCCTCTTCGCTACACACTGGTGCTGACCAATAAGGTGGTGTCCGTCATAGCGCTGATCGTCCTTCTGCTGCCTTTCTTGTTTGCCATTCCTTTTGTTCTGCTCATCCTAAGACTGCCTTTCTGTGGCCATCAGGTCATCCCCCATACGTACTGTGAGCACATGGGCCTTGCTCGTCTGGCTTGTGCCAGCATCAAGGTGAACATTATCTATGGTCTATTTGCCATCTCTATCCTGGTGTTTGGTCTTTTAGCCATTGTCCTCTCCTATGTCCAGATTCTCCGTGCGGTCTTTCGCCTTCCTTCCAGTGATGCCCGACTCAAGTCCCTCAGTACCTGTGGCTCCCATGTCTGTGTCATGCTGGCCTTCTACACACCTGCATTTTTCTCCTTCATGACCCACCGTTTTGGCAGAAACGTTCCTCAATACATCCATATTCTTCTCGCCAACTTTTATGTTGTCATCCCACCTGCACTCAACCCAGTCATTTATGGTGTCAGAACTAAGCAGATCAGGGAGAGGGTCGTTATGGTTTTTAGAAAGAAATGACAGAATTTGAAAATGAGAGAGTAAGAAGCTTGAAGATAAAAATAAATCTCAATTTTTACTCTCAACACAGCATTACAATCTCTGGGAACACATTGTAAGCTATATTCAGATTTTCCATTTATATTAGTAAGACAAAATGAGTAAAAATTTCTCCTGAAGAATTGAATGTAAGGTCAGTTCCAACCACACATCAAACTTTCAGCAATGACATAATGAATAAAATGAGACTCAGATAAATAGGTAATTGAAGTTGATAAAACTGGTAAGCATAATAATATATATTTATATGATATAAATTTACTAGTGTATGTAGCATATCTGTGTGCATATCTATGTATATTATATATATATATTGGACTATATACAATTTATATAACTTTGTGTTAAATCTCTGAATTCTTCTAGAAGCAATAAGAAGTAAGTACTGTTTATTTCCTATTCCTTTTTATTGAGGAGGAAACTGAGGCAGTGTATAGTTTAGAATGATATAGAAAAGACATGTTCCTGGTGAAATGTAAAGAGGAAATAGGACAAAGTTAAGTTCTTCTGTCTAAACAGATCACCATGCCCAGCACCTGCATAAACAGAGCACAAACTCATTCTAATTTTGCCCAATGTAACATGTACAGAATTTTAGAAACGTGTTTACAAAGACATGGACTTTATTGAGTTTGTGTACAGTGTGTTTCAGGACATCACCTAGCCAACATGAGGAGAAAAAGGGAATGAACAGTGTGAGTGAGGAAGAATAATCTTAATAACTGTATCAAACTAATTTCCATAGCTAATAAAGTATAAGAACAAGAAAAGGTGACAGTGTTAAGTAAAATAAAACAAAAATTACATAAATGCAAATATGCTCATAATTTTCTTCAGTATTTTCAGCAAAATATTTCATGACTGAGTAAATACATAAGTACATCACTAATATGGTTCGTCTTTAATTTAGTGTAATTGATTGCTTGCTATGTATTTTGATGAATATTGAAACAGATGCATTTAACATGAATTTTGCATATTAATATTAGCATCAGATTAGGATAAGTATTTTTTCAGGGAAGTACTAAGATTGGAATTACTTCCTCACATTAAGTGCTTTATCAATAAGTTTATACCGCCAGTAGTCAGGCACAATCCACTACTAAGCTACACTATCAGTTCTTTTGCTTTGAGAGATTTTTTCTAGATATGGTATCTTCTAAGTTTATCAGAGAAAATCTCCTGTGTCTCTACCTGCTAAGTAGATGTTTTATATTCTTGAGCCACATTTACAAGACTGGATTTCAATATGTGACTAGAAACTGTCTTCTTTCTCAGCTGATTAAATAAAAACGCACAACTTGAACACATTAAAACCCATGGAACAAATTATGTCATAATTATACATATAAATAACACACAATACATTTAGTAGCAATAAGAAAAACTGGCTATTAAACAAGGTAAAGGTAAGAATTTCACAATTCCATAAAAATTAGGTAAGAGTAAAATCACTATGAATCAAGAAAAAGTATTATTATTAATATAATGTTTAATTTGCTTGCTTTATTTTTTTAGAAAGTACATGAGTCCTTTGGGGTGTTCACTTTTTATAGTAAGTCAAGAATTTGAGCAACTAATATATAGACAACTGTTCTATAAGATAAAACTGAAATGAATTATTTAGCTTCAGAGAAATTTCCTTCATCTTTTGGCTATGGCATAATGTAGAAACAGACTAAAAAAGAGACAATCAAATGTTGAAAGTACATCAGAATTCATCATGATACTACATAACAGATAATTACACAAAGAAATGATGGTAACTATTAAGTCAGAAAACTGAAGGAGAGCTGGATATATTTGAAAAAAATTGTATTTCCCAAATAAAAGGAAACATGAGTCAAATATTTAGAGAAAGTTAATAAATGTAAAAGGCAGAGGTTGAGACAATCTTCCTAAGTATGGATGTGTACCTAAAATAAATTCTCAGAGATTTCATGAGGTAGCTGTGAATTAAAGCTCTAAGTGGCTTGACTCAATTCTCAGAGACTATCAGTCCCTGCACAGTTGATCCAGTTTGCCTTCTCAGAGGAGTTGTACATAACATGTTCCTCCTGAGATAAACTCAGTGATTTAGGCAGAAAGGCAAGCCTGATATTAAAAAAAACCGGATATGGTACTTGTGAAGGTCATATTTTATAGTTGTTTCTGTGTCTTACTCTCTCACACACACAAACTTAGACCATTGTGATAACCTAGTATAGTAGACACTGAAGAAACCACTTTTTTGAAAGTCAAATCCGGTAGTGCTGATAACAGATACAGGCCAGATGAATGTGGAAGGTGTTTATTACTTATAGGGGCACCTAATTATGCCTAGTGTACTGTGACCATCTCTATGGCTTTGCATAAATGGAAAGTAACTAGATTTGGGATGTATTGACAGATCAATGTGTAGTCAATTGTGACCTCTTGAAAATAGTTGGCACATCTTATTAGCTGGGTGGTCTTGGGTATGAACTTTGGACTTTGGACATGAACTTTAGACTATGGGCTTCAAAGCCAAGTTCCTCAAAATACTAAGCATAGAACTCCCCTATGACCCAGCAATCTCCTTCCAGGGAATTTACCCAAAATACCACAAACAAGGCCACTCTAAAGCTACCAGCACAACCACATTCACTGCAAAATTATTTATCATATCTAAGATATGGAATCAACCAAGATGCCCCTAAATAGATGAATAGATCAAAAAATTGCTATATACACAATGGAATTCTATGCTTCCATCAGAAAGAATGACATCTTCCCATTTGAAAGGAAATGGAGACTTGGAAAAATCATATTAAGTAAGCCAGACCCAAAGAAACATAGGCTCCATGTTTTTCTTCATTTATAGTAATTAGCATATGCCTAGGATAGTCCTAGCAGAGGTTCACAATAGTTCAATAGCTATGTACACATGACAATATAAAATGATGCTAATTGAAATGATCTCCACGGTGTGGAAACAAGAAGAAGTCTTGTGGTCATTTTGTTTTGACTTTCTTTTATTTTTGCTTTTAATGTACTATTTGCAGTTATTTCTTTTGTCTTTCATTTTTTTCTCTTCTGGCTTATTCTTTATGATCACTGTTTCTGATTTACGTACCCTTTGTCTTGTATATAAGCTTATCTGAGTTAGGAAAGGGAAAGAGAATCAGAGAAACAATAGAACAAAGGGTAAATCAATGCAACAGAGATACTCACTAGGCAATATGTTGGAAATGAACTTTACAACTTGGAGGAGGGGGGAGAGAAAGCAGGAGAAAACACTGGTTTGAACACCCAGAAATGAACCCACAGACCTATAGCCATCTAATCTTCGATAAGGGAGTAAAAAAATAGAATGGAAGAAAGACAGCCTCTTCAGTAAATGGTGCTGGCAAATTTGTTAATCACTTGTAGAAAACTAAAGCTAGATCCTTACATATCACCAGAATCAACTCCAAATGGATCAAAGACCTCAAAGTCAAGCAGACACCCTGAAAACATTACAGGATGGAATAGGAGAAACTCTAGGTCTCCTTAGCACAGGCCGAAATTTTCTTAATAAGGACCCAGAAACACAACAAATTTCATGGGATTGCTTGAAATTGCAGAGCTTCTGCATGGCAAACGACATCGATAGCAAGATCAATAGAAAGCCCATGGATTGGGAGAAGATCTTCACTAGCCACACAACAGACAAGGGTCTCATATCTAAAATATACTTGGAACTCAAAAACTTAAATCCCCCAACAACAAATCCTCAAAGAGACAACTGCCCAATAAATAAGTGGGCTAAAGACTTAAAGAGAAACTTCTCTGAAGAGGAAAGAAGAATGACCCATAGACACATGAAGAAATGCTCAACCTCCCTAGCCATAAAAGAAATGAAAATCGACTTGTATATCTCATTGTTGCAATGGGTCCACCTGTATCCCTAGTTGTCGTTATGTCGAAAAATGAACTTTACAACTTTGGGGTGGGGAGGATCGGCTGAGGGGAGGTGGGGGGAGTATGGGAAGGGAAGCAAAGGGGAAACAAAGAGGAGACAACAATGCTCGATAAGAAATGTTCTCATTATCTTCCCCCTGAAATTGTAATTCCTCTGTAGGGTATTCTCACAATTAAAAAAAAAAACTAAAAAAAAAAATGCGAATCGAAACAACGCTGAGATTCCATCTCACCCCAGTTAGAATGGCTATAATCAAAAACTCTACTAACAACAGATGCTGGAAAGAATGTGGACAGAAGGGAACTTTACTGCATTATTGGTGGGAGTGCAAACTTGTTCAACCACTTTGGAAAGTAGTATGGAGGTTCCTCAAAAGACTCCACATAGAGTTCCCCCATGACCCAGCAATCCCTCCTTTGGGCATTTATCCTAATGATCACAAACAAGACCACACTAAAACTACCAGCACAACTGTGTTTATCACAGCATTACTCACCATAGCTAAGACATGGAACCAACCCAGATGCCCCTCAGTAGA